AAATATGATTGAAAGGATCTTTAACTGAACCTTAAGATGTCAGCCGGTATAAACAGGCTGCACCTGGACTAATAAACTCTCCATCAAGCACTGGTTAGAGATGCCTTTATGAAATAACAATTAGAAGATTAAGGAGATCTTATAGATTAATGAATCAGTGTAGCTATAAATTGGCTGCATAAAAAACATCCAAGTAACACTGAGGAAGTTATAAATCAGTGCATTGATGTTTGAGGCCCATTACTTTCTGTATGGCAGTTCAAGACAATGACAATGACAATGGTTTTTGTGTATGTGTCAAAAGTAAAAACATAAGTTGGTCTTGAACTCTCTGAACTCTTTGGTTCTTGAACCAGGCCATGCAGTGTTTGCTCTTCGCCTCTGAGCTCGAGCTGACATGGTCCCCCCCTCTCGTTTCCTTGGAGGGTCACCTATCAGGGGAGGCAGAGCTGAATCAGCTGCACCTCATCCCTCGATGGTGCCACGGTGGCATGCTGGCACAGCGGGCAGCGGGCACTAGCAAGCCGGGCACGGGATGAAAAGCTGAGAGGATGAGATGTGGTTTGTTGGGAGGGGGGGTCAGGGTTTGTGGGATGGAAGTAGGTCTTGTGATTCCTGTGACAGCATTCTGCGAGATGGACTCGATGGACTCTCGCCCGCTTTGTGTTTGCGTGCAAGTTTGTTTAATGCATGTGTCACTTTGTCCCCTGCAGAAATGTAGCTATCCAGAGAACCGCACCCTCCCAAGGATACCCCACCCCTAACATGAATTGAGCCCCTCTTGCCTGCTGCTTCAAATAAACACACATACACACACACACACTGCACCCACCCCCTGGGGAGCAGCAGGAGCTAGCTCTGGGGGATTATGGAGAGGAAAAAAAGCTTTCAGGAGGACAGTCATCTGCTTCTCTCCTGCTGTAGACCACGAGCAGGCAAAAAAACCCTCCCTTCCTCCCTCTAAGTCCCTTTTTGGCAATGCCTGCCAAAAAACTGGGCCGGGCAGCTTTGCGAAAGGAAAGGAAGGCAGGCAGGCAGGCGATCCGTCTTTCTGTCTACACGGCGAAAAGAAATGGGCTCATTTAGCCAAAGCTGCCACGGTCAATGCAGGGCTCTGATAGAGGCTTTGGTTAGGTGAAATCCCTCCTATAAAGCTCTGTTAGAGACTGTGGAACTGTTGGGCTGCTGTTTAGCACAGGCTGATGTCTCCTGTCATCCACCTACTGTTCCCGGTTCCTTGTGGGTGTTTTATCGACAGTACCACCCGTGACACGGCCTTTCTCCATCACTGTCAATGCTTGCATGCTTAGAGAGGCCATTGTGCCCACTTCCCACCAACTGGTTATGGTCCAGGAGCAAATAATCTGAATTCTGGATTTGACCATCGGTCTAATAATTCCAAGCTTTCTTCGTGTATCATCCTCTTTTATACTGAAAAAGGCTTGTTTCTTGTCAGTCACCATGTCTTGTGTTGAGCGCTTGGCTCCTCTTGCAGGTAAACAGAGGAGGTTGTTTATCGCCGGGTGCTGGGTGCCAAGCCGTGGCATGCTCAGGGAGAAGATGTTGTTGACCTTGAGTTAAAATGGAGCTCTTATCATTACCTGTCTTGATTGACAGCCTGGTGTTTATGAGCAAAGTGGAAGGCTCTATTTCTTCCATCTCCGGGGGGTTTGGGGCTGCTGCCATGGTATGACTCATTTCTTGGTCTTTCTCTCACATGTTCTCTCCTTCCTCATCCTTCTTTTAGTCAGAAACAGGTTTCTTCATCAAAAGTGCTGGCATCTTCCAGCTGCTAAATAGAAGAACATGTTAAAACAACAACAAAATTATGAGATCAAGTTCCACTTGTGTTGCTTATATGATGCTTAGTGACACTTAACTACCAAGGGGGGTACTGGCTGAGTCCTCACTTTAACCACACCAGCATCTGGAGGGAAATTCCAAGACCAAAGACGGGTACAGGCAGAAATAAAAACAGAGCATGAAGAACAAATTCTGCCTACAGATTTTATTTAAGCTTCAGTAGATTTGTAGTGAAGTGGGTGGAATTGCAGGATGTATTTCTTTACAGAGTTTGACGGTTTAAAGTTAACAGTAACTTTAATGTTTCTCAACACACACGTGGGAGTCTCCTGGATAATTTGAGAATGCAGTAGGTCTATGTTACACTCACTGGTTGTGCATATAACTTAATTTGTCCTAACAGTTCTCTATCAGCCCCCAAATCAAAAGTGCTTAGAGTTAATGCTAATGTTAGCATGCAAACAGAGTGTTAGCGTGCTAACATTTGCTAATTAACACTAGACACAGATTGATTTTGGCCATGCTATTTACAGGTATGCATCACTGTCCACCTTGTTCAAACCCGGTATATTACTAAACCTAGCTTCAGGACTGTATCTTATACACCAGGTAGGATGGTCATTCCTCACTTTGAGCAGGATACAGCAGTGGTACAGTCTATATAAGATCATCTCAGGTACATTTCCAAATTCTGTTAGCCAGAAGTTTTAATTTTTTCAAAGCAGTTATAATGTTAGGTCACACAAATGGCTTCAGTTTAAAGCGCCTTTTACCAGCAGAGAGGCTGGTAAAACAATTCTGCTCTGCTACGGTCCCTGGTCTGGGAATGATCTGCACGCCAAACTCAAACTCAAGACCCTTATTTCTTTTTTATTTTAAACTTTAAGGCCCTGTGTCCACATAGTGCCTTTTTCTGAGCGCCAGAAGAAGGCAAGCGTCTTTTTTCAATTGTTCCCAATGAGGAGAGAACGTCTGCAGCCGCCGCCGAGCGTTTTGAGTTTAAAATCTCTGAACTTTTCAGAGGGGCGCTGGTGTCGTCACCGGCGCTTTTTCCAGGCAACCAATCATATCGCGGAACTCGTCACCCTGGTAACCAGAAAAAATGGAGGAGAAGCTGGTGCTGGCCGTGTCCGTCTATCCGGAGTTGTATGACATGTCACACAGACATTACCGTAACAGAGACAATAGCTATATATATATGTACTAATTCAATTTTAACTTTTTTTTCAATCTTCTCCAATTTCTCGTTTTATTTTATGGAAGTGATCAATGTAAGTGCACTTNATATAATAGTAGCTTAGTTAAATTAATTATTTTTCCAGCAATATATAAATTGAGATATTTTACAGCAACACACATGTAATCAATTCTAACCCATACAGTGGTGGCAAAGTTACTAAGTACATTAACACAGATCCTACTAATAAAACATGATGATGACTTCACCAGCTGTAGCATTAAAAGATTAACACAGTATATGTATCATACAGAAGACGAGAACGGCCATGTATTTGTGTGTGCACTGTTATCTCGTGATAACGACTTATTATTTCGTTATATCGCCGGGGCCATTATTTCCTCACTCATTGCCTCAAGGAGGGACAGCCCTGCAGGCAGGGAGAGAGCAGCTCGCGAGGGCTGCTCTCTCCCTGCCTGCAGGGCTGAGGGACTGTTTGTGCTTTTATGCACGGGTCGGTGGTGAAGTGGCGCACATGACTCATGCTACGGACGGACGGACAGACAACCACGTAGGCTATCTAAAACAGGTAATACATCTGGCTACATCTTTCCCACATCAAAGATCCGTGATAACCTACACCCGCGTGCGTAAAAGTGCACACAATTCTGTGTCCTCTCACCGCGGATGCTGTGATTTGATGGCCCAGTACTCATTGTAGCCCACTCTTATAAGACCCAATAATAATAATAATAATAATAATAATAATAATAATAATAATAATAATAAGCTACTGTGGACCTATATGCCATGCCTTTTAATTAAATTATCAGAGGAGTTCACTGAAAAGCAGATAGTGTCAGCCTGAATTACTCGCGTGCGTCCCCGGTGAAAATTGGCGTGCCCGGCGGCTAACCTAAAATAGGCCTGGAACCGGTCTCCATCTAACCGCAGCTCTTGGACGAGGCGGTGGTATTCACCATATTGATGCCTCCAACGGTTAGTGTCATGCACCCACATCCTCCTTGCTCTACATGTACGTCTGTCAGATTGAGCAGTGACAGCAGGGACATCACTATTAAGCTCTTCCAAACATAGCCTAATATGAGCGCAGGCATCTTCCGGTTGGTGCTCATCGTGAAAGAAATGTCAAACTATAGATAAAAAACAAAGAGGCGATGCTGCAAAACTGCGCAGCTACAGGAATTGTCAAGATATTGCTGTCATAGAAAAAAGAAAACCCTTGTGAGCGTTTTTTTGGGAGGCGCACAGACGTTTCATCCCAGCGCTCCGCAGCGCCCTTCCAGCGCCTTTCTGCCAGAAAAGACGCTATGTGGACACAGGCCCTTAGGAAGTGGTCACTGCTAGCTGCAGCTGCTTCAATTGACTAACAAACTCTAGACTTACTAGTCTCACTTGCAAAAGAGGTTTTAATCTCAATGTGAGGTCATAGTTAGTTTTTCAGGTATTTAGCATAAACTGTAATAGTTTGAAGAAAGGTATCCACACATCCAACTGTCTCTGGTGCAGGTGTGTTGGAAAATATCACTTGAGTCTTTGAACAGAAAGTCCTGCACACTGCTCTTGCTGCTCAGCATCACGATTTATTACCATCACTAACGTTTTGGTCCTCCAGTAAATTGCGGAGCTGAGCAAGAGCAGTGTGCAGGATTCAAGCATAGTCAGTATAAAATGATGGACATAGACACCATGATGTCACCCATTGGTTTTTGGACTACCCATTTTGAAGCCTCGAGTCTGGCATTTCGGCTTTCGCCATCTTTTTTAGAGCCAGAAGTGAGTGACCATACTTGAATCAGAGGGTGGAGCTATGGAGGAGCATGGGGTGGACCTGAATAAGCCACTGAATATGCCTTGAAGACAGACTGTCAGTCATAGCTTCCACGCCCTTAATTATGCATAACTTTAACTCTTAATAAAATTTAAAAGGCCAAGTTATATACATTTTCATGTACAATACACCCTCTCTCCTCTTCTCTACATTTTCTTCTTCTGAAAGGTCCTCGGCTCTGTCCGAACAGAAGGCAATCCTCTGGACTGCTGCTTCAGCCTGCTCCAGCCCTACCAGCTGTTAACAGTAGAGCTACCTGCAGAAAACCATGGATTCAGAGAGGGGTCCTGGGCCAACACCTGTGTGTATGAATGTACACAAGGGCGCCTGCACCGCTTGTCTGCTACCTGCATCCCGCTACCATCCCATCCCATCTCCTGCTCGCGTCACCCCTCTGAGACCACAGTCCTCCTGGGCTTAAGTGACTCCTCCTTGGTCCTGTATGACCAGCGACGGGGGGTCTCTCTCCGGGCCTCCTGCCCTGTGCCACCCACCCTCCACGCCTGGCACCCTGCTGGGGCTCTGGTCGTGGTAGGAGGGGATCATGGGGAGCTGATGTGCTTTGATGTGGGCTTGGCACCTGTTAACATGGCACTGGTAGCAGAGGAGGTAGCTTCAGCTGCCACTCTAAGACTAGATCGACACCTGCGCTGCTGTGGAGCACTGGAGGGACTTCGGTGGGCGTCAGGCCTGGAAGGAGATGTGCTGATGTTGGCCTTTCACGGGGGACCACTAGCAGCCCTGAGATTCAAACTAGGTGGGTGAAATAAGATTCAGAAATACCATCTGAAAACCAAACTCTTACAGAATGACTCATAACAAGAAATGTGTAGATATTTGTGGATTAGAAACCAAAACATTAGGGCGTCAGCTAACAATATTATCCCTTCTTACATAACCTGTTGATTATGTCTAAATAAGGTGATGTCTTTAGATCACAACTGTTCAAAAATCCAAACATGTTCAATTTGCAATGGCTATGTTTACATGCCCACTAATATTCCACTATTTTTCCATTCACTTATCCTTTCCGTAACCACCTATCCTGTTGGGGATTACGGGTGTGCTGGTGCCTATCCCAGTTGACACTGGGCAAGAGGCACATAGAGACAGACAACCATTCATATTAACATTCACCAATTAACCTGCATGTCTTTGGACTGTGGGAGGAAGCTGGAGTACCCAGAGAAAACCCACGCTGACACGAGAATGCAGTTTGAAGAATGCAGTTGAAGGAATGACAGAGGAAGGCAACTAAAAAAATCCTATTTTGATTTTAAAGAAGCAAAATGGCACTAGCAGCAAACGAGTCCACCTTTTCCATATTCTGACATTTTAAACACGTTAGGGCAAGTTAATCAGAGAAGGCACAGCTGCGTATAAATGTGAACATCAGTGAAAAATCCATTTTCATTAGCCATTTAAACAACGTAGTAAGAGTATTGTTATTTTTTCTTTTGGAATAAAGGCAAAACCCCTTAAAACCAGAATATTTTGCAAATCTAAGCATAATCTATGACCTAACAAAGAAAAACAGAAAAGCCTAAAATTTGAGGAGCCTGAAGAAAATATTTGCCTAATGATTATCAAAATTGTTGTCGATTCAATTCCTTTTATCGGCTATTGATTAATAGCCAGATTATTTCAGGAGTCCTTCACAGTGATTATTATTATTTTATGCACAAAGTGGTAGAAGTTAAATATCTCAGAGTGTTGAGTAAACAGTTACACTGCTTTGATCTAAAGCTCTATTTCACACATAAGTCTCTGCACCACTGTGAGCTGACGTAGAGATTTACATGTGAAATGTATGAATCTCTGTGAAAGAAACTACATGACCTAGCTTTTGATGATGCTGTCTTACAGTGATGCAGCAATATTTATTCTAAGATGCTGCCTAGACTAACTACACTACATTTTATTCCACATGCAATGATTGTAAATGTAAAATCATGTCCAAACCTTCCACACCATCACAGTCCTCCTGATGAAGGTGCCCTCCTCCCTTCAGAGGCTCTCCCTCTGTTTTGGATCTGACACTGTATCTGAACCCCGCTGTGTAAATATGGCTGCTGAACGGGTCGTCCTCTTACCTCTCCACTGCTGAGGGAAGTTAATTTGTTGACGGGCGGGAAGGTTAGCAGGAGTCACGCTCTCAGAGGTCATTCAATAATCGCCCCGGGGCAAGAGCCCCCCAGGTGCATTCTGGGATGCATTTTTCCGATAAATCGTTTACAGTGGCTGCGCAGTCCCTCGGGGCCCCCAGATAAAGTTTGCCAATCAAAATTTTTCCGAAGCAGCCACCACAAACACACGCATACACAAGCACACTCATACATACACACATTCAGCGTCTTTAATTGTGACTTTGGAAAGAAGATGTGACAGTGGCACGCAGCTCTCTGCTGAAGTTTGAAAGCAGGAGTGTGGGGGCGGAGGGAGAAAGGTAGAAGATTGTGTGCATTTGAGTTTGTGTGTGTTTGAGGGAGTGTGTGTGTTTGACTGTGTGTATCCAACTGCGTTTGCCTGTGTGCACAGGGAAAGGGGAGGGTGTCTTCCAACAATAGCTTCCCCTCCTCTGATCGTCTGCCAAGGTTTTGATGAAGAAAGTCACTGCACGTCTTTTCTCCATGATAATTCTTCCCCCCACACACACGTGTGTGTATTCTTCTATTTCTGTGCTTCTATGCACACACACACACACATACACACATACTCCAACTCATTTGTTTGTTTGCTTGCGCTCCTTCTCTGTATTGACTTGTTTCATAAGGCCCGCTACATGACAGAAGGAGTGAGTCGGGAGACGGCGAGGAAGAAAGACTTGGCGAAGTTCCAAGTTCTCTTTTTTCCATAGGAGGCAGCCCTCCCTGGTGCCCCCCCACCCCCACCCTCCTGCCTGCACCGAGTTATCTCATCTGGGCACACGTTGGCCGCGGCTGGGCCTGCACCGGTACAGGCTGTGGAAGGGCAGACCGGGGAATGTGCTGCACGGCACGCAAGGAAAATAGTCATTTTTTGTAGCAATGTAAAATATTGCCGATGTTTTATAAAGAATTACATAACTGGGTATACAAGCAGTGTTAAAAAAAGAGAAGCCAACGTATCTTTATTTGATATTTATTTTAGATACATACTATAACAGAAAAAATGTATCAAGGTAACATAAAGGTGGGGTGACTTTTATCAAATGAGTCTATCCAAGGCATCTATTTGAGTTTAACCCAACCAGCATTTAATTACGGAAGCACATGGCATTCACTGAATAAATAAAAAAAGACACCTTATCTCGTAATAAGGTAAGAGATAAGTTCTAGTAATCACAAGATCCTGATGTTATACTACAGTAAGGCCCTACGCTGATACCGTAATAACGTTAACGTTAGCAGATTTTTAAAGTGCGTCAACCATGAAACACAAGGACAGTACTTCTGGTCAATGTTTTTCAGAATAAAATTACTATATCTAGACTACAGAAGCCCATTGTATTCACTGAATAAATAAAAAAATTAACACATTATCTCGTAATTATAAAATAAGATCTCGTAATTGTGAGATAGTATGTTGATTTGTTTTAAAATGATCGACTAGTCTCATTCCTAATTTTTAGATGTTATCATCCTTGAAAAGAATACTGATTGCACAAAATTAAAACAAACTGCGATTCATTTTTATTAATATTAGGCTATAAAACTCACTCATTAAATAGTCAAATTTGAATTTCTGGGGTGTTAAATGCCACAGACATTTGATCTAATTTCATTTATCCATGTTTTAATTTGTTTTTGTCAAAATGAGTCAGGCTCTTCTTCGTAAAAGTCCACATTTCTAATGTCACAAATCTTTCAACCTACCTCTGAAACTAATCTTTTTCTTTATACTTGCACTTACCTGTTGGCAAACTGTTGAGTAATCTAGCTCACTCTAATATCCCTACATAAATCCTACCACTGGACAGGACTACATATATGCTACTTACTTTTATACTTACCTGCATTGCTTAAATAAAAAAAGATCAGGTTAGAATAATCTTGAAAAGATCTTAAACAGTATAAATTTATGTGTGTGAGACCTGCAGATACCCTGTTAACTGGATGAATGTCCACAACATAACAGTTATAATAGCAGTGCTGTCTTAATGAAGAAGACTTTAATGCTAAGGTATCATCATGGTCCTTTGAGTTGAACTCTCTGTTGTTAGTTTTGTCTCTGAAGTCTACTTGTTGTGTTGACGGAGCACAGCCTGAGTGCTCATTCTGTGTTGCTATTTGTTCGAGCTGCTGCTGACCGTGTTGTTGTGTGTCTGAACTGAGCTGGTCAAATAAGTTAGTGTAGACAGGTGTGAGAAAGAGCCGACCTGTCTTCGCCACCACAGTGATCCATTGTCTCCGCTCAGAGTCAGCTCAGAGCAGACGTTGATGCCCAACTCGAGGACCCCTTACACACATAAACATAGACACACACACACAAACCACACTACGCTCAGCTGATGTATTAGCCACATTAGCCCACTCTTAAGGGGATTTGGGGGCTTGCTAATTGCCAGCTTGTCATTTTAATTGCTCGAACAACCTCCCCTCCTCCCACACACAGACATACACACACAACTTCTGCAATTAATTAGACAAGAGTCAGTGGTGACTTTGCCTGCCTGCAGCCTGGCCCATTGACGGTACCGCTGTCAGTGATCACCTTCTCTGGCCAGAACTGTGCCGCCAGCTGTATCAAAATTTTGTTTAGTCGATGTTGAAGCTTAACTACAGCGTATCAATATATTACAAAAGTGCGTTTGTAAAAAATGTTGGTTTGAATTTACAGAGAAGTAAAACTACAGTCGTCTTTTATGGCAACATGCATTAAAGTGTTGCGGTTTGGCTCCGCTGCTCTGGTGCACATCAGCCTCTCCCGAAACAAGTTACTGATTCCTGTCACTGTTGCGTTACACACCATTGTGATCAGGTCACAATGGACAGTAATCACCCCTGGCATTCAACACCTGCACTTCCCGTACGTGTACTCTATAAAGCCACAAAAACACCAAGCACCGTTGCCCTTTTACAGACAGAACGAGACACCTCTGCTGCCGGGAAGGGTACAAAACCTCGTCCTTTCATTATTCAGCAGAGTCCTGATGTACACACATGCACACGCACACGCACACACACACACACACACACACACACACAGACACAAACAAAAGCATAATCAATCACCTCTGGTCAAAAGGCATAATCAGTTGTAACATTGCTCTCATACATACTGTATGCTCAATGTTTTTTAGATGTATTTAAGTAGATGGTGATGAGGACACACACCAGGGATTAAACCAACGTTCAACCTAATTGATTGATGATGTCAGTCCAACTGATCTAGTGCAGCTTCAGAGTTTAGACCGATCCACTGGACACTCACTTAGCTGCAATAAGTGCTTCCAGAATATTCTGCATGAACACACACAGCAAAACCATTGTGCCCCACTGTGTGAAGATTCAGCTCTTTTTTGACAAAATAAATGAGGGGAAAGTATAAATAGTTGCTTCAGCAGCTGAAGTTTTGCACATTTAATAGAAAAAAATATCCAATATAAACCAGTGTAAAATGAAAAGAAATTAATGATAGGAGGGTCTGAAATGATTGATGGACAAAGCCTAAAAATCTTTGCCAGATTTGTTAAGTTTAACGTGCATTTTAAGCTCGTAACACAGCCGTTGCAAGATTTTATACAATTTGTCTTTTTCTCTCTTTGTTTCTATCCCTGAAGTCAGACTTGCTGAAGTTCCTCTGGTTTTGCTACGAATTGTTTTTGGCTTTGAAAAAAATAGAATAATGATTTATTTAATATTAGTTACCCAACAGGTATCAGATGACGAGACGAGACCAGAATGTTTATATTATTTCATCAGTCTATACTTCCTGTCACTGAATGGGATCCTGGTGCATTTCGATCTTTTTAATCCATTGTTTTGTGTTGCTTTATTTCATGTTATAATGAGCTGAAACCAAACTGTGACTGTTTGTGACAGGGGCTCTGACGGGAGGCCAGATGGGTCCTGGGGAGCTGCTGCAGCAGAGGCTGCGTTGTGGTCAGGTCAGAGAGGCATTGGGCATCCTGGAGGCCATGGACTGGAGCATCACGGGAGACGAGTGCTACCGAGGCCTGAGCTCGGTCACCAACCACCTGCTGAGGCTGGAGCTGAACGCAGAGAGAGAGGGTGGGTCAAACACTTCTCGATAGATAGGTTTTAGTTTTGCTAATATTTCTGTAAGTAGTCAAACGCAAAAAAACAGCGGATTAATCTAGATTTTTTTTTGTCTTTGTGAAAAAGACACCAGAGATAAGAGAGAAGGCTATTATTTTAAAGCTCAACACAGTTGCTGCTTAAAAATTATATTATGTTAGCTAAGCAGTACAGACCAAGGGTTTGTAGGTTTGTAAACTAGTCTGCTGAACTTCCGGAGCTATTTATTTCACAAGGAAATTAAAAAATACATGTTATTTCACTTTGATTTATTTTAAATTTGACTTGTGCTGAGTCCAGAATCTCATACTCTGCACTACATATCCCAATATCGTTCAACACACTTCTGTGTAAATAAACATAAGTATGTAACTTTTATGACACACTGAGCTGTAATCAACATGTCACTTCCTGAGAGCCTGCTGGTAACCTGTGCCAATCTAAGCTCTACGAGTTATTTTAAAATAACTTTAAAACTATATTACACTTAACAAAGTGAAGTCTCACACTTCTTACACACTTACACTTACATTGAACTATCATTGACTTTACAGAGCTGTCTCGGTCGCCGTCTGTTATGAATGTTCAAATTCAGTCAATCAAATTTTATTTATATAGCACCTTTCAAAACAAATCAATGTCATTCAAAGTGCTTTACATTTTGACTGAAAAATACAGAGAATAAAAAAGTAAAATCGAGAGTAGAAAACGGACTGGGAGAAAGGACTGGAAGACCAGTGCACACTGTGTCATACAATAATAATTTAAAACAATAATAGAAGATAAAAACAAGATCAAAATCAGGAGAATAGCAATAATAAAAAGAGAAAAATACAGATAAGACCACTGAATAAAAACAAAAGTAAAAATAAAAATAAAATGCAGGACAAAATATAGAATAAAATAAGATATAAAAACAATCAGGGAAATAGCAATAAGACAAATACAGATAAAAAGTAATAAATAGAATAATTATAAAACAATAGAACTAATGGAGGACACTACATAAAAGCCAGACTAAAGAGATGGGTTTTTAGCCTACGTTTAAAAGTGTCAATGTTTCTGACTCCTCTCAGATCCTCCGGCAGATTGTTCCACAGTTTTGGAGCATAGTGGCTGAAAATTAAAAGAGAGGAGCCAGAGGATCTGAGGGGCCTTCCTGGTTCTTAAATAAAAGCATCTCTGAGATATAGTCTGATGCAAGCCCATGCAGTACCTTAAAAACTAATAAAAGAACTTCAAAATCAATATGAAAACTAACAGGCAGCCAGTGCAGGGATTTTAAGATAGGTGTATTGTGTGCTCTCCTTCTGGTCTGAGTGAGAACTTGTGCTGTTTTGAATCAGTTGCAGCTGATTGTTGTCCCTACCACATACTAAGGTTTCATACTAAGGTTTCGGACATACTAAAACAGTGTCACATACTGTTTTTGCCTTTTTTGAACGTTTTTTTGAAAAGTTAATATAAATCAAGAAGTTCATTAATACAAAGAGAAGCAATGGATTTCACTGTGACAGCCATGTCATCTTTTTATACCTCCACACTGGTGATAGCCGTGGCTGGAGGCATTATGTTTTGGCGTTGTCCGTCTGTCTGTCCATCCCATTCTCATGAGCGCGATATCTCAAGAACGCCTTCAGGGAATTTCTTCAAACGTCCTCTTTGACACAGCAATGAACTTATTAGATTTTGGTGTTCAAAAGTCACTGTGACCTCATAAAACATGTTTTTGGCAATAACTCACAAATTCATATACAGTACAGGCCAAAAGTTTGGACACACCTTCTCATTCAATGCGTTTTCTTTATTTTCATGACTATTTACATTGTAGATTCTCACTGAAGGCATCAAAACTATGAATGAACACATGTGGAGTTATGTACTTAACAAAAAAAGGTGAAATAACTGAAAACATGTTTTATATTCTAGTTTCTTCAAAATAGCCACCCTTTGCTCTGATTACTGTTTTGCACACTCTTGGCATTCTCTCGATGAGCTTCAAGAGGTAGTCACCTGAAATGGTTTTCCAACAGTCTTGAAGGAGTTCCCAGAGGTGTTTAGCACTTGTTGGCCCCTTTGCCTTCACTCTGCGGTCCAGCTCACCCCAAACCATCTCAATTGGGTTCAGGTCCGGTGACTGTGGAGGCCAGGTCATCTGCCGCAGCACTCCATCACTCTCCTTCTTGGTTAAATAGCCCTTACACAGCCTGGAGGTGTGTTTGGGGTCATTGTCCTGTTGAAAAATAAATGATCGTCCAACTAAAAGCAAACCGGATGGGATGGCATGTCGCTGCAGGATGCTGTGGTAGCCATGCTGGTTCAGTGTGCCTTCAATTTTGAATGAATCCCCAACAGTGTCACCAGCAAAACACCCCCACACCATCACACCTCCTCCTCCATGCTTCACAGTGGGAACCAGGCATGTGGAATCCATCCGTTCACCTTTTCTGCGTCTCACAAAGACACGGCGGTTGGAACCAAAGATCTCAAATTTGGACTCATCAGACCAAAGCACAGATTTCCACTGGTCTAATGTCCATTCCTTGTGTTTCTTGGCCCAAACAAATCTCTTCTGCTTGTTGCCTCTCCTTAGCAGTGGTTTCCTAGCAGCTATTTGACCATGAAGGCCTGATTCGCGCAGTCTCCTCTTAACAGTTGTTCTAGAGATGGGTCTGCTGCTAGAACTCTGTGTGGCATTCATCTGGTCTCTGATCTGAGCTGCTGTTAACTTGTGATTTCTGAGGCTGGTGACTCGGATGAATTTATCCTCAGAAGCAGAGGTGACTCTTGGTCTTCCTTTCCTGGGTCGGTCCTCATGTGTGCCAGTTTCGTTGTAGCGCTTGATGGTTTTTGCGACTCCACTTGGGGACACATTTAAAGTTTTTGCAATTTTCCGGACTGACTGACCTTCATTTCTTAAAGTAATGATGGCCACTCGTTTTTCTTTAGTTAGCTGATTGGTTCTTGCCATAATATGAATTTTAACAGTTGTCCAATAGGGCTGTCGGCTGTGTATTAACCTGACTTCTGCACAACACAACTGATGGTCCCAACCCCATTGATAAAGCAAGAAATTCCACTAATTAACCCTGATAAGGCACACCTGTGAAGTGGAAACCATTTCAGTTGACTACCTCTTGAAGCTCATGGAGAGAATCAGTGAGAATCTACAATGTAAATAGTCATGAAAATAAAGAAAACGCATTGAATGAGAAGGTGTGTCCAAACTTTTGGCCTGTACTGTACTAATTTTGACAACATTTTACACAAATGTCTAACAGGATAAAATGATGGAGTGATGACATTTTATATCCAAAGATCAAAGGTCAGCTTCACTGTGACATCATAATGCTCTGCAAAAACACTTTCCTGGCCATTATTCAGCGTCATAATTCAGGAACAGAATGGGAGACATTTGGTGGGATACTGGATTAGTGACACTAATCTCTGTTGTCCATCTTGAAACTGTGCTCATTTAGATCTTCTGTGCTGCTGAGGGAAGATGTATGATGTATGTATGAAGCATCAGGTTGGTGAAGATTCTCAGTCACCCAGGTCATGGTAATCATAAGTGCTATATCGTAGGCAACTGGACTTGCTTGATTTTCTTGACGACATTTCACCTCTCATCCAAGAGGCTTCTTCAGAAGAACTGAAGAGAGAACTGAAGAAGCCTCTTGGATGAGAGGTGAAACATCAAGAAACTCAGAAAGTCCAGTTGCCTACAATATAGCACTTATGATTATGTGAAGCATCTACGTTTTAGAATCCGTAGTTAATTTGCAGCATCATCCATATGTGAAGCATTGTCTACTGTCATGGCTACATATGAGTCTGGACAGACATGGATATAAACTGCAACTTGACTTGTTTGTGGAGGCATTCAAGTCTGAAGAATTTTGTGGGGGCATTTTTGCCTCTATTTGATAAATGACAGTGTAAACTGGCAATAGAGGAGAGCTGGAGCGCCTGTGTCATGCAACAAAGGTCCCTTGGCTGGAATCAAACATGGGACGTTGTGGCCCCTAACATTATCTTTAAAAATAAGAACAGGACATTTATGAAATGTATCTTTGAAGTTCTTATTGTGTGTGTTTCTGTTCTGTCTGCAGCCCAACTCGAAGCAGCTCTGGGTGTGTTTTACACCCCGCCTGTTCCTCTCTCTGATGTGGTGATATTAGAGCACAGGGAGCCGATCAGCAAGTGTGCCCGCCGCTTTTTTCACCACCTCCTCAGGTAACGCCACCTTCTCTGTGCTGTCGCTGTGGCCCTAATAGGATCTTCTGAGGGAGACATTTGTTTTGCATAACTCTTCAGAAGGGGGGGGTCAGAGGTCAAGGTTGGCTATATTAGAGTTAAATGCATTTGAATATATACATAAACAGTATGATCCTCCATCAGACTGAAGAAAAATAATTGAAAGCCACTGCCGGTGGTCTTGAATACTCCACGTACACAAATTTCCAGGCTATTTTTAAGGCATTACTAGAACATTTTATTGGGTGCAGAATCAGAAGAAGAAAAACCGTCCAAAAAAGGTCTTTGTGAAAATGACATCCATTGCAGATACAATTTAATTCCGCTTATTTGCAGCTCACTATTGCTATTTTAAAAATTCTAAAAAGGAAATGGCTTTTGAATTTCATCGTACACACTGATGCAGCTTTGAGTCATTCATAAGGCAAAGCACCTCACATGCACCTGTTTAGACTGTTGTTTCATTTTCCCTTCTGCCATGAGAGCCTTTTGAAATGCCTGTTTGACTGAAATAGACCCTGTTGTTCCCACACACTGCTGCTTACTGCTCTCCATCCTGCAATTACCTCCCGTTTCTCCTCTCTCTTTTCTTTCTTCTTCCTCTGTAGCAGAGCTGGAGCGTTGTTTGGCATCCCTCCTCCTCTCCTCTCTTATCACCTACCTGCATTCTTTTTCTCTCCATCGACATCAAATGAAGGAAGCCCCCCACACACCTCCTCTCTCTGATTGTGTTTGTTTGTTTCATGTTGGCTCTAGACAGGGAAAGTTGAGGTGTTTTGTATTGGGAGATACAGCTCTCTCTCTCTCCAGCTTTAATTCTGGATAATAGGACTAGGACTCGCTACTCTCAGTTCAATTATTGACAGTTGTGTGTATGCAGTGGTGTGTGCTGATCGAGGTGTGTGTCTGTGTGCAGACCAAAGGAAGGAGAAAGTACACACTACTGACCTATCCATCTATGAATTATAATCCAAAGCATGTATTTTAAGATTGATGATTGTTTTTCTTTATTGTCAGAATGTTGTTGTGCCTCTCTTTAACTGTCTCTCCTCCTGTCCTTCCTCTCCTCAGACACCAGCGCTTTGAAAAGGCCTTCCTCCTCGCTGTAGATCTAGATGCCAGAGATTTATTCATGGTGAGTGAAAAGTAAATTTCTCTGTTGAAGAAATGAAAAGAAAAAAAAAATGCAACACTCTCTCAGGACCAAAAGTGTAAAAATTACTCAAATAACAAAAAGCATTTACAGGTCTTAAAAAATCTTTAAAAGCCCTCAATTCAGTTTCCTCAAAAGATAGTGTTTAAAAGTCTTAAATTTAATTTTCAAGTCTTTAATATTGTCTTTTGCCTGCTGTAGGCAGTAATGTTAATTATTAGACCTGCAACAATAAATTAATTATTTGTCTGAAAATCAATCAATAATCTGAGTAATTTTTAATTGAAAAACAAGTCAAATTTCTCTGATTAGAGCTTTTTAAAAGTGATTATATTCCAGTTTCTTTACTCCTCTATGATACTAAACTGATATCCATGGGTTGTGGACAAAGCAAGACATTTGAGGATGTCATCTCGGGCTTTGGAAAAACTGATCAAGATTTTTCACCATTTTTCTGACATTTTACAGACCAAATAACTAATCCACGATTGAGAAAATAATTGACAGGTTAAGCAATGAAAATAATTATTAGTTGCAGTTAAAACAGTGAACTATAAGTTAAATCATTGCAAGAGGTGACTGTTGTTGCAGGGGGCCATTCAGTGCTTTTTGTTGAGTTTTTTTGTTGTTGACTCTTAGACCTGTGGCAAACAGTTGTACTACTCCTAATTACAGAAGCTAGGAAGCTCATGGTCTCATAATGGGCCTTTTACATTACTTATCTGGGTCCATGTTGCAGTGATTTAATTAACTGCAGCATTAGGAGTTACTGTTATATACTACTGGAAAGTATAAGAAAATATTATTATGATAAATACTCCTTGACAGTATTGTCTTTGCAGGTTTGCTGTCATACATCCAAATTACTGGTATAAAATGATTGCCTTTTATGTGGTTTTATGAAGGTCTTAAAGAGGAACCACCTACATTAAGAATTCCAGTGTTATTTACATGGTATAGGAAAATTAAATCACTATTTGTGAACATGAGCTACTCTCTCTCAAAACCAGAAACCAGAGAAGTAAATCTAAAGCTAAAGTCATGGCATAGTGTATAAAGTCTGGAGCTACTCCTAAATGAGCTTTATTCTATTGTGATGTTCTCAGTTTTGAAACAGAACATTCCCCTGGCTGCACTCAGTGTCATCTATAACATCTATCACTATTCACTGTCTAAGGAGCAGCCCAGGCTTTATACCCTGCTATGACTTCACAAATTTGAGGTTAAGCACTCTAGTTTTTGGATTTGGGAGACAGTTGTTTATGTTTATTAATATTTTTGGACGTTCATATATCATAGGAATAACTTGTATTAATTGTAAATAGGAGTGAAGTTCCCCTTTAAAAAGTTGTAAATTTAACTTGATGAATCCAGTACACCTCCTGAAATTAAGCACAAACAGTTTACACACATCTTCATCAGTGGTACGACATGATAAGGAGAATATTATGAATCTTTTTTTCTGACGGTGCATTTTAAAATCTCAAAATAATTGATATCATCTGTTTGGGTTTTTTTTATTTTTTTATTTTTTTTTAAATAATTTACCAAATGGGCACATTAACGTTACTCAGAGCAAGATAGCGGAAACAAAAACACTATTTGGATTTTATGCAAAAAAGTTCTTTAAACTCAGCACGATGGGAATCAAGGCAGTGGAGTCCCACATGCAGAGTGAGAAACACAAAATCACCAAGAAAACTTCACAAACACAGTTCTGTTCTTCCCCTCGTCTCCGCCATGAGACAAATAAGTCATATATTATATTAAAAACAAAAACAATAAGGCAAAATTGTCCTTAACCCAAAGTATGTTTGATGTTGGTTCAAGATTTTTTTTTCATCAGTTTTGGTTATTGCAAAATTTGGTCTTAAATTTTGTTACGAGTGGCATTTAAAAAGTCTTAAAAAGGCTTAAATCCAACTTGTCTTAAGATGTAGGAAACCTGCATGAGGATCACGCAGGGCTTAATCCGAAATTTTGGTCTTTGATTAAAGAGGGGGGTTTGGCTTCTTGTTTTTTAGCACAGTGTTGGAGAGAGAGAAGGGTCTAACGTGCAAAAGAGTTTTTATGTTAGTGTACTCCAGCTTCATTAATACTACACAACCTGTTTTAATTGTTCCATGACTTGTACTCTTGTTACATTCATTTGCACATGACTTGTAACCCATACAAGTGCACGTGTGTGTGTGTTGCATGTCAGAGAGCAGGTGTGATCTCAGTATGGGCCCCTATCTTTTCACAACCTCCACGGCCTCAGCTTGGCCTTTTCCTCTCCTCTCATCTTCCCTCTAACTCGCTCTTTCTTCCACTCCACGCTGAAATGCTCTTCTATGTGTTTGACCCCCTTTTTCATGGGGCCCCCTTTGCTCCATGCTTCACCAACACCCTAGACATTAATACAGACCCCCATACACACACACACACACACACACTTGCTCCCTCAATCACACTGATAGCACTGGTTCCAATTACCTCCCCACTAAGTAGTGCTGCTGGGAAGCCGAATTGAAAAGGTGGAGTCGAGCCTGTGGACCTTGAAAGAGCGCAAAGGGAGGAGGGGGAGCAGAGAGGAGAGGAGGGGGGTGGTGGTGGGGATGGAAAGCTATATGACAAACTAAAAAATAAATAGAGAGAAAAGAAGTGAGGTCTTGCTCCGTCTCTTTGGAGGTGTGGAGAGATGAGTGAGGAGGAAGAGAAGGAAACAGAAGATGAGCTCAGAGATGGAGGTGGAATCATTTTTGCAAATAATTCTCAGTGTTGGGTTTGAACTGACTTTGATGGTTGAAGACGGTGATATCAGCACAATTCAGCCAAACAAGCCTCTCATCGAGAAACGCATACTTTAATATGCATGTACTGTATCTGCACTCGCTTGTCAAAATTCCTTGTCTTCATGTAAATAATTAACCCTTCCTAAAACATAGTTGAAACATTGGTTCATATAGATGTGTAGATGCAAAAACCAATGATATTTTTATTCTTTTAAAAATATTCCCAGGAAAATTATAAAATTAATATTTCCGGAACGCTTGTACACTCATACCCTTTAAATCCTTTTCATATTTTGTGCCAAGTTATGGATGTGAAACAAGAAATGAAGTGCAAGTGACAAGTGACAATCACACCGCTCCCTTGAATTACTACTTTTTTGGGCGGCCCACGACCAAGAATTTTCCTAGTCAACCAATAGTCGTCATTTAGGCCCATTAGTCGACTAGTTGTCCGCATGTTTATGATATTAATTTAATGATTAAATGATATATTTTGGTGGTTTTAGTTGAAGGTGTGAGGAAGAATAGTATCAGTAACATTGTTAACACTGTGCTACATTACAGAGAAATACAAAACCGTACTAATGAACCTTCATTAATATAGGCCTATATTTTATCTACAAGTGCACGTCACACACTGAGCGTGCCGCCTGTTAATGACACTGTGGGCTAATGGGCATGTAGCTACTTCCATGTTTCAGATGATACGTCATGTTTGTAGTCGACCAATGAGTTTACATATCACCTTGGGTTCGTCCTTCACCTTCTCAAAATGATCCCACACTTTGGATTTCCTGCCCGACATGTTATTAACTAGCCTGTGGAATAACCGCAGGTACCAGCCCTGTAAGTTAGGGGCCGTACACATGCCGTGTCTTTAACCGTCTGGGAAACGCGAGGTCGGGTGCTGGGGGCTACTTTTGTGCCAGCTTTCCAGAGCATGGAGGCAGGTTGTATCTGAGGTTGCTAGGAGCTGTTTATAAGTGTGTAGGCCTGTCGTCCGTGGGACAGATGTAAAGCTCTGGGTAGCCCTGCACTAACATGATCAACTTTTCTGTATTTATCAGACTGAATATTTACAGAAGAAGGGAAAGATATGTCGATGCGTGGCCACTTCCTGTGTCTGTCCTTTCAAATTAGATTCCCACATGATCCAGTCATATAGGTTTTGACAAGGTGCAGCCTCTAATAGAGTTTCACGTTTGTTTGTATATTTCTTTCTGCAACTAAGCTACCAATAAAATCATGCCAGCTAATGACCTTCCTGGTCGACTATTAGAGGGCAGCCCTACTACTTTTCATAGTTTTCATTATGTTTTCAATATGTTTTTATGTGGGGCACGATCATAAGCCTCCACTTTAGGTGCAGTGAACTCCAGGAGGCTACCTGACACAGAATCACAGAAATAATTTGGATCACTGCAGTACTTGATCTCAAAGCTTGATTGTGTGAAGTTGGTGTGATGTTATCCAGAAGTGGTGTGTCACTGTCCAGTGGGTCTTCACGACTGCATGACCAAAACTACAAAACTTCTCCAATCACAGAGCCAGTTCACTCGTCCATTTCAGTTCAGTTTGAGAACTGTGTGTCCCTCTCATGTGGCTCTGATACGACACCTGACAACTGTTTCAACCACAACTTTAGTGTTATTACTGTACAGGTGACATCTTTCCCAGCTTTACTCACACGTAAAAATATTTTTTCCCATTAAACTCTTATACTTTCTATGTAAACAAGTTTAAGAGACAAAATAAGAAAGCATTTGTGAACACTTTTGTTGCAGTCTGTATGGTGATCTCCATGTTTCTGGCTCACCAAATACAACAGATAAGTATCTTCTAATCCTACATCTGTAACACAGGGTAGCTGCAGGTCGTTTAAAAGTCTTGTCTTTTAGTCATGTCACCTCCAGAATTTTCAGTGTTGGCACTATGGAAGACTTCAGGACAACACCTGCATGCACGTAGTACCCTTATTGTCATCCCCTCTATGCATTTAGATCACACAATAAGTCCCAGACACACAAAACTGACATCAAAGAACTAGTGGTGATGAAGGCCGACTGTTGCATCGCCTCTGTCTTGGCCAAAAAGTTGTGTTTGAACACACCGCAAAGACCACAGCCAACAGCCAACTAGCATGTATGCTCTGCGCCTGCATGAGAGAAAATAACTTTCCAACCAGCAGGCGGTAGTAGTCTGTTTTCA